ATTTTACCTTAACCATTTTTTTTTTTTTTTTTTTTTTTGCCTGACTGTTGATTTATTGATATATAGATAAACAGATGTCTAGACAGACAGGTAGATTGGTAGATAAACTGTCAGATAGATAGTTGGATAGACAGATGGATGGATAGATTGATAGATTGCTTAACTGATAGATAAATAGACAGATGGATAGATAGATAGATTGATGGATAGATAGATAGTGAAATACCCGTTACGTAGAGTGTCAGCTTACACTCGCAAGATACCTCCTTATATCTATTTGTATCTATTTCAGCTGAATAGATCGACAGACAGAAAATGACTAATGGCACCCCCCCCCCCCTTTGTGCAGAATGATGCAGTTGCCAAACGGGATTTACTGATTTTTGACTGACCTGTATTTTATTTCGAGTGCCCGCTGTGTTCCCGCCTCCCAATACCCTCCTTGATGTCAGATTATTGTACATCACATAATAATGACTTAACGATGAGAGTCATTCAAGATGCAGCGTTAAAATGCGGAATTGTGTGGCAAACGGGTGTCTTTTCGTAAGTAACAATGAGGGTGAGAGTGTTTATAAAATAATATAAACTAAAAAGTTATTCAAACTCATAAAATTATTCAACATAAAATGGTGATTATAAAATTATCTATTTTTTTAAAAGGTTTTAGAAAAATGAGGGTCAGAGTGAGAGTGCTTATAAAATGTCATGAAGTGAAAACGCAAGCGAAGGACCGTGTGTACAAAGAGGAATAGGAAAAGGAGCCACGAGAAGAAATGAAAGGAAATCATACTTAATTTCATTTCTTACTGTGTCCGTTTCCCAGTTCATCCTCACAAAATATCTACTTACTTGACGGGGCGTTTACTTTTGTAATAATGTCGCCAAGGATAATTCATTTCTAATAACTTCAAATGCTCCGGTATCCACATGATCACGACACCTTCCGTCAAGTTATCTTTCGTGGGACACTGTATATTCTTCTGTTCGCCTTTATCTAAACTTGCAGAGAAGCACAGCTGTCCGTCTGGAAAAGAAATGTCAAAAAGGGTCAAACTACATAAACCAATACAAGAATTTGCGTTGGTAATTTGACTGAAAGAATAATTGATTGAGGATATCGGCGCTAATGGCATACAGAGAAGACCTTTCCGCCTAGAATACCGTGTCTTTGTTGTGGTTGCGTTACGGTACGTGAGTGAAAATGCGATTCCAGCACATTTTGGCAATCACAATGAACGACTGCTTTTAGGGTTACACTTGACTTCAAGAGATCACCATCTCATAAGAGCGAAAGTCCTTTAAGACTGCGTTACAGGACGACACGAATGAACATCTCGATATTATTGTAAATATCAGAACAAGTGGTTTGCGAGAATATGAACAATGAATGCAAGAACAGATGAAGTGACGAAGAGCAATGAAATCCGTCTTAATGTCCTTATCAAACCAAGCGTCATCCAATCAACAAATATTCACTCAAAATGGTAATTACACCATGGAATGTATAATGTTATACGCACTTTCATCGGTGAAGAAGGTTTTAGCGAGCCTCTTTGAAGCCACCGGCAGGATCTCCTTCGCCAGATGAATTCTGCGCCCGACAGCCACGGGCGCCATCTGCAGCCCCAGGAGCCGAGCCGCGTGAAAGGCCACGATTTCTCCATTGTGACGGTCCTTCCCCGAGTTCATGATCGTAATTACTGCCGTGCGATTATACCTGGAGAATGTAAAAGGAAAATGAGTTGGGTCTGATGGAGGAATTTCAAATTACTCGAGGCTGATGTTGACATTTCATTAAACCTGAATTCAAGATGGACTCATTATTTATACAGAACAGTACATTATCATAAACACTGATTTTGGAAACTGTATTGGTTTTATTTTTTTTCATATTAACACTATGTTTCAGCAGTAATCAAAGTGCCGCTTAATCTGCCCAAACATCTATAAAAATGTAACAATAAATCGTCAATCAATTATTTCCTCTGTCCTCCTTCAATGTAAATCCGAACTTATTGTATAACCAATTCATTTCTTATCCTTGTTTCTTTCATAATATTTGCTTTATCATTTTTATTTATCTTTTATTATTATTATTTTTTTTTTTACACAATACAGAAAACACCCATTTACCTCATAACTTTAAAAATAGCCTTCTGGTTTCCTTCAAACTGCAACAGAAGCTTGAGCTGTTTCCCCCCATCGAAAGAATCGGCTGCCACGACCGGCGCCGTGGACAGGGCAGCCAGGACGTCCCCCAAGCCAGGAGCAGACTCGGGAACCAGGGACTTCGGCTTGGCCCACTGGAACCCAAGGGAAATAGGGCCACGGCGGCTGTGTTTGCACATCTCTCGATCGCAAAATAATGGTATTATATTTTCTGTTCTTCATGATAACGTGATGATGATAAAGGAGGCAGAACTACTTAGGGTAATCATAATCATAATAACAGCGTGATGATAGCCATGCCGATAATGATGAGAATCGGATGACATGA